GATCGTGTAATCATCTGCATATGTAACGATTTCAATGCCGTCCGGAGGGCGTGGAATACCGGAAGGGTAAAGGTTAAACAGTTCCGTTAGATCAGGCGCTACCAACACTGTTCTATCGCACGGCCGGTTCTGGTTAAGTCCTTCAGTTGTCATTTGCAAGACCACCCTAGGCTTCGGGAACAACGTGTGTGGCTATCGACAAGTTGAGACGTTGGCCAAGTACTCGACTCCTGGCTCGTCCAGCCGCTTCAGCATACAGATGGATATTCCGTCAGGGCCCAACGCTTTAGGATGACTTCGCGATTCGGATGACACAGGCAACATCACCCATCGTGAACTGTGGTGGTACCTCCTAGGCTGGAAGAGATCTTATACGACGAAGTACTCTTCTCTTCACCCTGTCGCTCTCGGGATGCTCGACAACCTGTCGGTTAAAATAACTTGCGCATCTCTTCGGATCAGTCATAGTTACGTCGTTAAATGTGACTGAGCTCCTATCGTCCTACTTTCAAGGGTTCGAGAGCGACTTAACCGTTGCCCACAGGTTACATACTTCGGTACCAATGTTGCTGATATCCAACATAAGTTCCCTGACCATGGGATCTGCTGGGTTAGATCGACGGAGCTCGTCACGCTCATTTGCTAGACCAACTGCTTCTGCTGGGAAATTAAGTCTCATTTCGGGTATTCGACCAGCAGGTATAAATCTAGCATCTGCAGCTGTAATGATGCCTCGGAATTCCCTCTCTGCTACTCGTACATCAGAAGCGCTGATTGGTGAACTCTCTCTGCTAATGGAGACGATTATGGGGAGGTGGTCTGAGCCAAGAGCAATGACGGGCTGCCAGCTGACGTCATTTATCAGACTAGCTGACACAATGGTTATGTCTGGCGAACTGTGATACTCCCCCTTTATTCTGGTGGGGGCATCCTCATTTACCGTGCAGAAGGTGGAGCCATCAATTTGCTCTGCCAGCACTGTTCCCCTCTGGTCATTACCTAGGACGGAATGCCACAACTCATGGTGGGCATTGAAATCCCCTCGCGCCAGACGGTTATTGCCCTTCAATAGAAAACTAATGTTGGACAAATAACGCGGTTTACAGCTATTAATCGGCGATATGTACACGTTAAGCACCTCTACCTCGGCAGTACCGCATTTAACTGCTACCCCCATGCATTCCATGTATGGGCAACATAGGCTATTATAATAGCTAAACGTTTTGTTCACTACGTCTAATCTTTTTCCCGGGCTTATGGTATTAGTGTATTCAAATATTCAATCCAAACGATCAGCTGATAGTTTGCAACATATACAACCTGTCATTTTGCTCTTCACATACAATATTGCACAATTTCCCATACTCCGATTCTGTGTCTTCTATTGTTTTCTTATGGAAAATTGTTTATTGTTTTGTTGGCTATTTATTTTTGGCGAATTCCAAGGCAAACACCACAATAATTAGGATATTGTATTCTTCTCTTTTTTTACCTGAAACCATTTCCTTTCCTTTTTTCCATTTGGCATTGTTTTCAGTAGGTGTTTGTTTACAAATTTAATCAGCTGCTGCTACACACACAAATGACAATAAAATATCTGGTTGGCAAATAATTTCAGAAGAATTCGATACTCAATACTTAAAGGGAATTATTGGATTTTACGCCAAACCCGATATTTAGGTGGATATGCTCAAAATAAGTAACAAATTCGTATAGTATTGGAAGTCCGTTACCTGTTTAGTTTCCTTATTTAAATTAGATTATTTGATTTCAGCCATTTAATGGCCATAGGCTTTGAAAAACTTCCAAACACACTTCAATGCAAAAGATAAGAAATCATTGATTCCATTCAAAATTAAACAGCAGTAAGAATGTCCGATTGTATGTTACCTCCTTGTAAATGTTATTGCGATAACACTAATCAACTTATCATCATCATTAGTATTTACAATGATTAAATTAATAAATCGTACTCATAGATAAAAAACAACACGTTTTTTATTTTATTTTCAAAAAAAAAAGTGTTAAGAATTTCGATGACGACATTTTCCCGTCTTCGTCATTGATTTCACTTTCCATTTCATTATCAGAGTCAAACTTGTTTTTTTATATTCATTTGATTTTTGTTGTTATAATTCAAAATCAAAATATGATTAGTAACAAACAGAAGCAGCCCCCCATTTGGAAAAAATCAGTTTATTTTAGCATAACTGCTTGATTCCAAAACACATGTTTATTTTATGGTGGTTAGGTGTATGTGTGTGTGTGATTTTGGTTTATTTAACATATGTGTTAATTAATTAGCGCCTTATTCTTGTTTTTTCTTAAACATTACCTAACTAACTCAATTCGATCAATTTCCTCCCCTCACTTTGGAGAAAAAAAAAACTTCCATTCCACACACCTTGGTGTATGAACATGGATGGGTAAAGCAGACCTTGGAACATTTTGAAATAGTATTCAGACCTCACTCTAATAATGCCATGAGTCTCCCCATGGAAAATGTGAGCCACCTACATGAGGAGAAGAAAATCTATGCAGCATAAAAATATGACATAGCGAATAGAACATCCCCACTCTGAAGCGAAATAAGTGATGACTAAAAAGTTGCAACATCGGAACCGGTGTGAGTAAACTGTGGACAATGGTTAAGTTGTTCTCGATCCTTGGCTAAGAAATATGATAGAACCTCAGTCTCATTTAACGACGAAACTATGGCTGATCCGAAGAGATGTGCAAATTATTGTAACCGACAGTTTGTCAAGCATCCCGCCAGAGATAGAGCGAAAAGTTCTAAGTCGTATATGATCTCTTCCCGCCGAGGAGTTACCACCTTCCTTCTCCAGCAGATTCCAGGGTCAGGGAATTTACGTTGGAGGACAGCAGATAAGTCACGGAGTATAAGCGGAATAAGTCGATGGAGCGTCTGAAAATTTGCAACATCGGAAGCGGTGTGAGTAAACTGTGGGCAATGGTTAAGTTGCTCGAGCAGAAACAAGGTTCTCAAGTCGCTATTCGGCAGCACTTGTGTAGCTGGCAAAAAACTTTGTTAACGACATACAAAGCATCCTTCCTGACGTGCAGTGCAACACAACAAAGCCTGTCGATGCAATATCCGCTTGAGGACTGCAACAGGATGTCTCCTCATGACTCCTATAGAGCACTTACACGAGGAGACGACGATCCTTCCTGTGCGTCAACACAACAAGATGTTGTCGATGCAATATCTGCTTGGGTGTTATAGAAGTAGCCATCCATATCGTTACCTAGGCATGTCAGGAAGGATCTTCATGATATGGAGAGAGGAAGCAATTCGAGAATATGGTGTGAATACAATCTTTGGAGATCACCCGGCTACGATGGCTGTAGAAGAGCAGCAGCTACCTCAACTAACCAGAGTGGTCTTGGCGCAATTATGATCAGGATTGTGTAGCCACCTCAATTCATATTGGGCACGAATTGACGGGAAGGTCGATAATGGACCACATGACACGCTCCACCTATTTAACTGCCCAGCCAAGCCCACTCACATAATTTCATCATCTCTTTGGACTCAACCGATACAGGTCGCAGCCTTCCATAACTTGTAGCAAAAACAGATTAAAAAGAAATACACTGCAGTACAAGCTGCTACAACAACACGTGAAATGTTTCCATAAGAAGACCATCTGGCAATGTTCTCGTAGAAGACCTGGTATTCCTTTGTGAAAAATACCCTCTAGCATTCCTCTTTGAAAAGGACTTTCTACCATTCTTTTTTGGGAATATCTTATAGAAGAATACCATTTCTATAAGAAGACATTCAGGTCATCTAAATGAAGGTCTCCTGGTCTTCTATACGAAGACCTTCTGTTCTTCTATATGAAAACCAAAAGAAGAACTTCTGCTCTTTGGTCTTTTATAGGAAGACCTTTTTGATCTTCTATAAGACCTTCTGGTTTTCTATAAGAAGACCTTCTAGTCTACTACAAGAAATTCTTTTTGATGAATACGTATACCATTCGGTTTTCTAGTAGAGAAGCTGGTAGTCTTCTATAAGAAAACCTTTTGACAATCTATTTGAAGAATTTCTGATCATTCAAATAAGACCTTGTAAGAAGACCTTGTGACCATCTATTTGAAGAATTGCTGGTCTTTCTAATAAGACCTTTAGGGCCTTCTATAAGAAGACCTGTTTTTAAAGACCTTCTGGTCATCCAACATCTGGGCTTCTATAAGCAATTGTTCTGACATCTGAAAATATTTTATAGGAAGTCCTATTTTTTTCTTCCCTGAAAAGAAAATATTATATAAAAAACTCCTCGATTTTTGGTCCCATTACTGGGTACCCGTTGATTATTTTCGTTGTTGTGCTTTGTTGATCCAGCACGCCCTCCATGGACGATTAAAACGTTTTTATAAATTAACTAAATTTATATTAAAAAAATATATATTTTTTTGATATAACTAATTGAATTTATATTTTTATTTTATTTTCAGGAAAAACTCCCCTCAAATTAGATAAGTTTTAAAAATTTATCCCCGTCCCACTGCTACAATTTTCAATAAGAGCATCAACTTTAAGAAAGTTGTCCTCCACACCACCATATCATTGGCATTCCATAGAGTTTCGACTAACACTAATTCCTATTAGGATACAAAGCCATATATAAATCAAGGCCCCCTTAATTTCCGTCAGCTGCTGGTCCAAGGACATCAAGAACAGGTGAAGAAGCATAAAAAGAGGAGACTACTTGAAAAACAATACGTCTAAAGTCTGGCACCATTTTAACATAGAAATTTTATAAAATTCTAGTCATAGATAAAAGTCTGGGTGTGTGTGAAAAGCAGCAGCGTTTCAGTAGTCCTGCCCAGTCCGCCCACTAGAAAAATCTACTGGCCGGACACATACGACGGTTAAACTGTCTTTTGTGTTAAAAACACACCCACCCACACTCTGAGAGGGCTTTTTGCTTTGCTTTTTAAACAACAGAAACCTAACCTAAATTAAATTTTTTTGAATGGATCCTTTTGTTGGTTGGTTTCAAGAGGAACAGGAGGGTCCAGCCTTACGCACATGGTGTAAAATTTGGGAAACCAATGCGCATGAAATGAGCCAATTGCTGGAACAGCAAAATCAACAGTTACAATTGCAATCATTACAAGGCGGCGGCAATAAATTCAACAACGGTGCCAATTTAACAGCACGCGATCGTGATTCCATACAGCTGCTACTGCAACAGTTTGGTGGCTTGCGCAACAATAACAACAGCAACAATCACAATAACAACAATAGCAACAACGGCAACGGTAACAATTCCAGCGGCAACAATTCAAGCAACACATCCCTCGATTCGAATACCAATAACGATAACTCATCGACCCCAGCCACAACACCTGGTGGTGGAGAAGGAGGCGGCGGAGGTGTCACTACAACAACAGGCACAACAAATATAGCCGGCAGCAAAATGCCCTCACACGAACGTCCCAGCTATTACAATCCGTCACGCAGGAAAATCGGCCGCATTGTCGACAACAAGGCCAGTACATATAATCTGAACAAGCACATGGACAAGCTGATATCGAAATACAAGGGTTGTCCGTGGCGTGTGCCCGATTGTAATTATGGGCGTGGTGTTCTCGGCCTGCATCAGGAAATTGAACAGTTCTACAAATATGTACTGCCAACACCCACCGAACATGCCATACGCAACGAGGTGGTACATCGCATTGAGGCCGTTGTCCATTCGATATGGCCATCGGCAGTTGTTGAGATATTTGGTTCCTTTCGTACTGGTCTATTCCTGCCTACCTCTGACATTGACCTGGTGGTATTGGGTGAGTATTGAAAATGGAGAAGCAGAATTATTCGATTTGATTCTAAATTTTTATTTTTTTCTCAGGTCTCTGGGATAAAATGCCTCTAAGGACATTGGAAACCGAGCTCATTGCCCGTGGCATTGCGGAACCACATTCGGTGCGTGTACTCGATAAGGCCTCGGTGCCCATTATCAAGCTGACGGATCGTGAAACCCAGGTCAAAGTGGACATTTCATTTAATATGCAGTCGGGTGTCCAGTCCGCCGAGCTCATCAAAAAATACAAACAAGAATTTCCGCTGTTAGCGAAATTGGTGCTAGTTCTGAAACAATTCTTACTGCAACGTGATCTCAACGAAGTCTTCACCGGTGGCATTTCTTCCTATTCACTGATCTTGATGTGCATTAGCTTTCTGCAGTTGCATCCGCGTCAAATCCATGCCGAGACTGATAATCTGGGTGTTTTGCTGTTGGAATTTTTCGAGCTGTACGGCCGGAAGTTCAACTACATGAAAATCGGCATTTCCATTAAGAATGGCGGCCGTTACATACCCAAAGAAGACTTACAACGTGATATGATCGATGGCCATAGACCGTCACTGTTGTGCATTGAGGATCCCCTGACGCCGGGCAATGATATTGGCCGGAGTTCGTATGGGGCGCTGCAGGTTAAACAAGCATTCGAATATGCCTATTTAATGCTGTCGCAGGCTGTGAGTCCGCTTAACAATTGGGCCAATGACTGTAATGAGCGTTCAATATTGGGTGAGTTTTTCAAAATGTCTCAGGGGTTTTGCAATTTATTTCTAATTTCTTAATTTTTCTCTCTCTCTCCTCCCTCAGGACGCATCATACGTATCACCGACGATGTCATCGACTATCGCGAATGGATACGAGAACATTTCGAACATTTGGTCCTTGCCCGCCACTCTCCTGTATCAGCACTGGGTGCTCCTCCGCCGGGCACACCGGGCCCCGTGGTGGGGAACACACCCAAATATATGCAAATACAAATATTGCCTTCCACAATGCTGCCAGCTGGTGCCCTGACGGCGGGTCAACAGCAGCAGATACACCTTATACCACATCTCTACCATCACCAGCAACAGCAGCAGCAACAACATCACTCGGCGGCGGCGATGTCATCGATGCGTCATCGGCGTGCCAGCACCTCGTCCGGTGATGATTCCGAAGATAGCAAAGAATGTGATGCCGATTCCACCTCCGCTATAATGACCGGTGGTCCAGCCGCCGCGAATATTCACACAGCTGCCCGGATGGATACATGATGAATAGTTGCAGGTTTGGTGCAGCAACAGCAACAACAACAGCATCAACAAATGGTCCAGATGCAGACAGCTGGAACGCCGCCGGGCTCCTCAATGGCCCAGCAACAGTTCACAGTGTCGGCAGCGACAACCATGCTGAAACAGATGCAGTTGCAGCAGCAAACCACGCAGCCTCTAACGCCAACAGTAGTAGCAGCAACACCACCACAAACACACACAACTAATTTTATATCTTCGTCGTCATCATCATCATCGGCCGTAGCCTCGGCCTCAGCTGGGGCCATGCCATCATCACCCACATTAGCCGTAAAATCGTTCCATGAGATACATAATGTACCGTCAGCAGCAGCAACAGGATCGGCAATTGTTTCATCGTCAAGTTCAGATATTGTGGTAACGGCGGCAGCAACATCAACAACAACAAAATCAAATACACACCTGCAACAGCAACAACAGCCACTGGTGCCGCCGCCGCAGCAGCAACAGGGCCATGAATTTAAGATGCCTTCTTGTCCAGCTCAACAGCAGCAACAGCAACATAAGAAAAATCTTTTATCACCTTCACCCCCGCGACAACAGCAACATCATCAACAACAACCACAACAACAGCCAACCACAAAACAGCACTACTATCGCCAACAATTTTATGTTCCACCTCCCATGCAGCAACAATATCAACAGCAATATACCACCACCGGAACAGCATCTTCGTCGTCAAATGCAAAATATGTTGCCAACGCTAGCAGTAGCAGCAGCAGCAATACGGCCGTCTCAAGCCATGCCAACACTAACACAAGTGCTGGTGGTGGCAACAACAACACCAATAAAACCCGCTATTCAAATCAACAACAGCAGCAACAACAACATCAACGTCTACAGCAACATGGGCGGCAACAACGCACATCGTCATCATCGGCTGTAACGTCCACAACAACCAACACATCATCATCAGCAGCGGGAGCGACGGCGGGCACATCGCGTAATAATTCCAATACCGCTACCACCTCCACCACCACACATGGCATACTAACATCGGCCTCATCGACCATATCGATTATTTCCATTTCATCGGAATCGTCCGTTTGTACAATATCAGATTCTTCTTCAAATAAATCTGGTTCGGAATCGGAATCACGTCCATCCAATTCGGCATCGTCGTCGTCAGTGTCGGCATCGAATATTAAAAGCGGTAGGTAAAAATTGTGAAAAACAACAATTCAATTTTTTTAATTAATTTGGATAAAAAATTTGTTTAAGGTCATATCCTAGTTCTGGATTTTTTTAAATATTTTTTAAGGTCTAGCCTTAGGCGAGGATTTAGTTATAGCTCCCATATATATTTTCGTTCGATTTGCGTGAAATTTGGCATAGCGTACTGAATTATATCTAGAATGATGTGTTAAGTTTCGTAAAAATCGGTTCAGATTTATATATAGCTCCCATATATATTTTCGTCCGATTTAATGTAAATGATGTACCAAAATTATCTATATATTTTTCGATTTGTATGAAATTTGGCATAGCGTACTGAATTAAGTCTAGAATTATGTGTGTTAAGTTTCCTGAAAATCGGTTCTGATTAAATATAGCTCCCATATGTATTTTCTTCCGATTTTATGTTAATGGTGCATCAAACTCGCAATATTTGTCCGGTAGAGACAAAATTTTGCACAGCGTACTGAATTTAGTCCAGTTTGATGTCTGTGATGTTTTGTTAAAATCGGTTCAGATTTAGATGTAGCTCTCATATAATTACGTCCGATTTAATGTAAATGGTGCATCAAAGTTCCTATATATCATTCGATTTGCACGAAATTTGGAATAGCGTACTGAATTAAGTCTAGAATGATGTGTGTCAAGTTTCGTGAAAATTGGTTCAGATTTAGATATAGCTCCCATATATAATTTCTTCCGATTTTGGGTAAATGGTGCACCAAAATCGCAATATTTGTCCGATTGAGATACAATTTTGCACAGCGTACTGAAGTAAGTACAGTTTGATGTCTGTGATGTTTTGTTGTAATCGGTTCAGATTTAGAAATAGGTCCCATATATATTTTCTTCCGATTTTATGTAAATGGTGCACCAAACTCGCAATATTTCATTTCATTGAGACAAAATTTTGCACAGCGTACTGAATTTAGTCCAGTTTGATGTCTGTGATGTTTTGATTTAGATATAGTTCCCATATATATTTTCTTCCGATTTTATGTAAATGGTGCACCAAACTCGCAATATTTGTCCGATAGAGACCAAATTTTGCACAGCGTACTGAATTTAGTCCAGTTTGATGTTTGTGATGTTTTGTTAAAATCGGTTCAGATTTCGATGTAGCTCTCATATAATTACGTCCGATTTAATGTAAAATTTGCACCACAGTCCCTATATATCTTTCGATTTGCATGAAATTTGGCATAACGTACTGAAATAAGTCTAGAATGATGTGTGTTAAGTTTCGTAAAAATCGGCTCAGGTTTAGATGTAGCTCCTATATATAATTTCGTCGGATTTTGGGTAAATGGTGCACCAAACTCTCAATATTTGTCCAATGGAAACAAAATTTTGCACATCGTACTGAATTCAGTCTAGTTTGATGTCTATGAAGTTTTGTTGAAATCGGTTCAGATTTAGTTATAACTCCCATATATATTTTCGTCCGATTTTATGTAAATGGTGCACCACAGTCCCTATATATATTTCGATTTGCACGAAATTTGGCATAGCGTACTGAATTAAGTCTAGAATAATGTGTGTTAGGTTTCGTGGAAATCGGTTGAAATATAGATATAGCTACCATATATAATTTCGTCCGATTTTGGGTAAATGGTGCATTAAACTTGCAATGTTTGTCCGATTGAGACAAAATTTTGCACAGCTTACTCAATTCAGTCTAGTTTAATGTCTGTGAAGTTTTGTTGAAATCGGTTCTGATTTAGATATAGCTCCCGTATATATTTTCATCCGATTTTATGTAAATGATGCACCAAACTCGCAGTATTTGTTCGATTGAGACAAAATTTAATACAGCGTAATAAATGTTTTACGTGCAATTATATTTCTTATATTTCTTCAAAATCATTTTTAAAACTTATTCAAATTCCCACTCACTTAATTTTTATTTTTTTTTTTACAGAACACCAACATGGTCGTAGTAATTACAACAAGAATAGCAACAATAGTGGCAGCAGTAATGGTGGCAATGGTAAGAAGAAAACGAAGAAAGCCAACAAATCGAATAAATGGAAGTAAAAAAATCCACCAATAACTACAATAATAACAAACACAGACATCCTCCTCCTACACACTCCTATTCCCCCCTAACCATCTCAATAGAATACAAACCTATTAGCTACTTACAGAAAATTAAGAGATTACAACACCAAAAATAAGTTTATCATTTTATGAACGAATTATCCAACTATATATAAATACTAATAACAAACAAACCACTACAACAAAAAAACAGATAGATAAGTAAAAAGAGAAACAACCAAACAAACTTAAGCATTTAGCAAATCTAATATATAAATATGAATATGGAGAGAAAGATATTAAACAAACAACAAAAGAAAAAAAAAAACGAATGGATAAATAAGAACAGAAACAAACAAACAAAACAACTAATATTTATTTTATTTATTTATTTTTTTTTAACAAATATGACAACTATCTCTTATTAGTTATTAGCTGTGGTCTTCCCCTAACACAGTAGTGAGAGCTAATACTTAAAATATTTCCCCCCACAAGTTTTCCTCACACCTTTTTACCGCTCCTGCTCTCCTCTAGAATATGATAAGCAATATTGTCGTCGGTGTTATTAGCTTCTTCACACACAAAAAATACAAATACCGAAAAATTATTAATATGTGTGGCAACATAACCTCAACAATTAATAGAAATTAGAAGAAAAAAATAGTTGTGAGAAAAAACTATTTTCCACCTCATGAAATGAATATCAAAAAGAAAAAGAAATGGAATTAAAAATAAAAAACAAATTTTTAAGGCCTTATAAACATTTTCTAATCATGACAACTTTCCCCCACACCACCTACTCCCAAAATTAGTCACATCCATTTAATGGTCATCCAGTCAGTGTTAAATTGTTTTCTCTTTTTTATACCCTTCACCACACTGTGGTTCAGGAAGGGGGTATTATGTCTTCGTGCATATCTTTGTAACAGGCAAAAGGAAACGAAATAGACCCATGGTTCCATTTATGATTCGATTTGAATGAAATTTGGCGCATTTCAGTTATGCGGCCCAAGGACGTACCCTATTGAAATTGGAAAAAATCGTTTCAGATTTAGATATAGCTCCCATATATAGTTTCTTAAATTGTGCACCAAAATCCCTATTTATATTTCGATTTGCACGAAATTTGGCATAACCTACTGAATTAAGTCTATACTGATGTGTGTTAAGTTTCGTGAAAATCGGTTCAGATTTAGATATTGCTCGCATATGTAATTTCTCTCGATTTTAAGTAAACTGTGCACCAAACTCCCAAAATTGGTCCGATTGAGACAAAATTTTACACAGAGTAATGCATTAGGTCTAGATTGATATATGCAAAGTTTTGTTGGAATCGATTCAGATTGAGATATGGTTTCGTCCGATTTTAAGTAAATGGATGCACCAAATTCCCAAAATTTGTCCGATTGAGACAACATTTTGCACAGAGTACAGAATTAGGTCTAGATTGATGTACCCGAAGTTGTGTTGTAATCGGTTAAGATTTTATGTGAATAATGCTCCAAACTCCCCAAATTGGTCCGATTGAGACAAAATTTTACACAGAGTAATGAATTAGGTCTGGATTTAAGCATGCGAAGTTTTGTTGGAATCGGTTCATATTTAGATATAGCTGCCGTATATAGTTTCGTCCGATTTTAAGTAAATGGATGCACCAAATTCCCAAAATTTGTCCGATTGAAACAACATTTTGCACAGAGTACAGAATTAGGTCTAGATTGATGTATCCGAAGTTGTAATCGGTTAAGATGAATATATAGCTCCCATACATGTAGTTTCGTCCGATTTTTATGTAGATAGAGCACCATACTACCAATATTGGTTCGATTGAGACAACATTTTGCACAGAGTATTGAATTAGGTCTGGATTGTTGTATGCAAAGTTTTGTTGGAATCGGTTCAGATTTATATATAGCTCCCATATATATATTTTCGGCCGATGATTGACATTCAATTTTTCAGATTGGTATTTGCATTCGCAGTTAATTTTGTCCGATTCCATTTCAATGGTCCTTTAAAGATATTATTATTCTATCTAAAGGATATTGTACATATGAGCATCTCTTGTCTGCACCCAAAGTGGTGAAGGGTATCATATAGTCGGCCCCGTCCGATTTTTGAACTTTCCTTACTTTTTTTTTTTTGGTTCTTTCTCAGTAACAAACCAAAACAAAAAATAAGTAAAACAACAACAAAAGACTATGACAACAACATAGATGCTACTATCTAACTGCAAAACAAATAAATATATATACATACTTACATATTTATATATAGATGTAAACATTAAAAAAACATACATATATTACAACAACAACGAAAATTGTAAGCGATGAAATTTGAGAATAAGCTCCTCCCCCTCCATCCCAAACCTTAAGCGCGCAGAATAATCATCATCATCGCCTTTTATTATTAGTTGTAGAGAGTAGCTGACCCCCTTCCTCCACTAATTATACAAACATGAAGAAGACGGCGTTAAATTCAAAACACTTTTTATTATTATTATTTTTTTGAGTGCCACAAACATTTTCTATTAATCCTATAATCCATATCCATAAAAAAAACATTTTTTGTGGACATCAATTCCCCTCCTCCCTTCAATGTAGCATTTCCTTGTTTTATTTTGTTCTCCGTACCCTATATCATGTACAAAAGATACTATTTGTAAAATTTTATCCTCAATCACTTTAAAATACTAAAAAAACAACAACAACTTACATTACATTATGCTACGGCAGGATCTACCAAAAATAAAGAAAATTAGCCTAAGCTGTCAGCTTCGAGACTCACACGTCCCAACCAACCACAGGAACCTAATCTCCAAAACACGCAAACAACAAATCTATATAAACTTATTTTAATTATTAATTAAAATTTCCTTTTTTTTTTCTTCCTCTTCCTCAAAGTTAAAGCGGATATATTTTTTATACCCTGCACCATACTGTGGTACAGGGAGAGGGTATTATGTCTTTGTGCATATCTTTATAACAGGCATAAGGAAACGAGATAGGCAATAAATTTGGCTTTTTGAAATCGGTTAAGATTTTTATTTTAGCTCGATTCAGCTAGTAGAGATATGACGATTGTTATACTAAAAAGTGAATATAGAAACAATTTTTTCCCGGAGTTAAAAATTCAATTAAGTTGTGAACGTCACTACCGAAATTCGAGTTGGTTACCGAAGAGCGCCGCTTCAAAATTTGATCGTAATTCTCGTCCTAGTAGACAAGAAATATCATGTTTAGTGTCAAATAATGCGTACACATATTGACTGATTGACGTGCCAGTCAGCGTCGAGAATAATTTCAGAATTAGTGCTACAAAATTTTCAATAATAGAAATTAGAACTTATTCTCAGAATTTCTATAATAAAAAAAAAATCAAATTATTTTATTAAGTATCTAAGGATAACCGAAAAAAAGAAATATTTATTTTATTTGAAGCTTTTGATTCTTATTTTTTTACTAAGTAAAAAAAAAAACACATTTTCTAATTTTATTTACAAAATCATGTAGTCATAGGTTTAACTATATATATATATATGTATATTCCACTCGAAATGTTTGGTATTTATTGTTTGCTTGCATTCAGTTGTCCTGTTTTCAGAAACTCAAATTTTTTCCAAACTTCAACTATCAATGTTGGCCCCCCTACAAAAATTTGTTTATTACTTTTTTAGTTTGCAATAAATGAAATTTTTATTAAAAAAACAATCGGGCATGTTCTGGTATTCACTTCAACGGCAGAAGTGTATCGAACACACGCCGAGGTGTTCTGTAACACACTTTACACCCATTTGAGGTGTATTCTTTACACTTACATTTCCATAGTGAGAGTCGGGTGTATTCCTGTTTTTTCATATAAAAGAAAATCTTTTTTGAAATAAAAAACGCACATTATGATAGATTGATTTTTTATTATTGCGTATAATTTGTTTAAAATCACAAAATGAACATGAAACACCATTAACAACAAATTTTAAATAGATACTAAGGTTTGTCTTAAATTTTCTTCAATTGAATTTCTTGCTTGACACAAACAACTGATTTGAAGTAAGGCCGAAAAAGATAGGGTTACCAAATGTTCCCCTTAAATCAATCAAGAAATTAATGTTATTACAGAGGTTTCATACATATATTTTATGTTGCGAATAAAAAAATATTAAAAAAATAATAATAAAATTGTCGTTAGAATTAAAGAAATTACTAAAAAATTACAGAAACAATGTTAAAAACGAATACAGTTTATATTGAATGGCAACACTATTTCTGCAAAGTACCATGTCGACGTTTATTTTTGTCGCAGTTCAAAATTTAAATTCACGTGAGAAGCAGAACAGGAGGTAGCTTCTGAGGTGAAGTGTATGTGTAAAGTGAAAAGAACACGCCGTGAGTTCCAGAACATACCCGAATATATCGAAAAGTATGACCATAATATATAAATTTTAAGCAATTAAAACATTGAAATGTTTAAAGTTATAATTTTTTTTTTCTAATTCGTATCTTCCCTCCATTATTTATAAGATATCCTCCTTCATATCTATATATTTTGTTATTATGTGTTCAATAGCAGCTATTTGTTACAAAATTTAAATTTAAGAAATTTCTAAAATAACTGCTACACAAAATGGATTTAAAAATGTCAACATCTGAAACCTGACTCTGGAATTTTTTGAATGAATTTGAAAAAATATTAATTTTTTCATGGAAATAGAATTTTTCATGTTTAACAACATTCAACTTTCATATAAGTTACTAATAATTTCTTTAAAAAAAATATTAGTGTTTAAAAAAATATTTAAAAGAAAATTATATATTTTTGGAGATTTTTTCGTATTTAAGTATATTACATATGCTTGAATATCTGCCATATCCCCATCCTCTGACATAAAGAGGACAAAACCATTCTGGGAGTTATTTGCCAGGGAATAACTAACCAGCCCCCAAAAAAATCACCACTGATTTTATGTTTTTTGAAGGCTCATATTATGCTGAATG